AATTCTCCACAAAGAGAACAACTTTACTTCAAAATACCAAGAGAAAATACAATCAAGAAACAACCATGCTGTTGAAGACAAACAACACAGAGAACAGGAAAGCCAAGGGAATGACAAGCATAAACACTTAAAATCATGCAACCAGAACATTACACACTTATGAAGCAAAGGTCACAGAGGTATTAAAAATTTTAATCTTGCTTCCTGTACCTTTAAGAAGTACAAGACACACAGAAAGTATTAATTTAACATTATAGTCTCATTAATCAAACTTTTGTGACATGGAGAAGATCAAATAGATCACACAAACATGCTATAACAAGGAAATGTGTACCAAGGATTGGTATTGAAAAAGCATGTTTACATATTGCCTGAGAAAAATGACTGGTAAAAAACAACGCATATTTGATTGAAGACATAGTCTTCTGGGTTAGACTTAGTAAATTTTTGGCAGTCCATGAGAAGAATAGATTGACATACATATATACTAATTAACGCAACTGTTATCAATATCTATAAGAAATTGAGGTAAAGGAAATATAATACAGTCAACACTTCCTTCTTGAAAAATTAGCACTATTTTGAATATAAAATATACAATAATGTATTTTGAGCAATGGTGCTAATCTTAAATCTGACACAACAAAAATACAATAAATGATACATCTCTTTGAATACAATACTTCAAAAGTTTTATTAAATCACTTCTCTTCTTAAAGAGTGATTTTCACATATTTGCTACATTATACCAGAATGTGATGTCAATGATGTCTTCCAATTTCTAAAGACTCACAATCAGTCGAAAGTGATTCACAGTCAGCTTCAAGTTCAAACATTTCATTTTACAGAATACACATATCCACAATGATAACCAACTAACTTCCTTCAGAGCAAATTCAACACTAATAAAGATAACATGGAACTTTCAGAGCTAAAATAAGAAAGAAAATAAATAAGAAAACTTCAAGAAACGGAAATTAAAAAATATGCTTCAGAAAATAAATAATTTATAATTTGTAAATAATATAAAAGAAAAAAAAGAAAAAGAAAAGAAAAGAAAGAACATCACAAAAAAACCCACAGATTTCTCAACAAAAACTGTATATAAAAAAATTATTTCTTTCCTTCACAATGTTATGTTTTAGTATTCATTTCCCAATCGATCTAAACTCAAGTTTCACTCTGTGAGTTTGAAATGGATATTTTGATTTTTGGAGGTATTTTACATAAAGCGTCAATATTTTCAAAAGATTTTCAAAAACTTTTCTAAATTTTTTGATTTAATTTTTTCCTTGGAGAGTAAAGGTCATTAAAAACATTGGGCAGGTCTAATTTTCACTGATCTCTCTGAGTTTTCAAAAATTACAGAAGTTCAAAATTTGGTTGATGAATGACCGATTGTTAGTGATTCTGAGCATGTCAACTACTATGGCCATTAGTCCCGTAACTGTAGTGCATGTTTTTTCTCAGGAGAAGGTCATTCCCCTACCGATCTCCTGGCATGTGTGGTAGTGAAATGTGTGTTACTCTATGTGTGAGATAAGACAAGGAAGAGAAAGATAAGATCACGTGCGATCCATGGCCTGTTTGTTAGGGTACAGCTCTGGCATTTGCCTGGTGTTGATCAGAGAAACCATGAGAGCAACCGATCAGAACAGCTGGCCGCTAAAATTCTCCTGCAGACAGCAACTGAATTCGACCTCGCTGACAAGTTAGTATCGAAAACCCTGTCACCGTCGAGATTTAAAACTAGGATCTTCCATTGGGACCGCAGGAACTGCAGTGATATCAGTATTTGTTAGGTGTCTTTCAACAACCACAATATTGAAAATAAGGATCTTTGAAGGAAGATCAAGAAATAAGATCATGTACAACTTTTCCAAAGAAGTTTTCATGTAATTTTGTGCAAATTATAAGCAAGTTTCAAAAATTATTTTCTAATTCTCAAGTTCTCAATTCAATTTGCAGGTTCTCAAAAACAGCTTCTAATTTTTTTTTTTTTAATTTCTTTTTGCCTAGGACAGAGCAAGGGGCACTTAAAAAAATGGTGCAGACCTCATCTTTGTTGGAACTCTGAATTTATAAAAATTGTTAAGGTTAAAAGCGAATAAGAAGCAATTGTTAATGCAAGAAAGTCAAAAGTTGGTGCTGTTGAGGCACCACAAGTTTTCATTGAGACAATTAAAAATTCATCAAAATAAATTGTATTTTCATAAATGTGTATATCGCATTATTAAAAGAAATAATTTTCATTACGCAATTTTTATAAGCGCACTTTACTCTAAGAAAAAATATAAAGAAAAAACTGAAATCATCATTGAGAAAAATTTGTAATGTCCTAATGTGCTAGTAAAGACCCCCAAATTGAGAAAACTTTCAAAAGGAAAAAGTATACAAAAATTTAAAAGAATTTTAAAATTCGAGTGGTGGCCACATCATTCAGATTGATCTGGGAATATTCATTTGAGTAAAAATCTTGAGAATGGCTTAGACTGTATGAATATACACTTAGATTGAGCGTTATTTAGAGAAAGTGAACATTTTCAGTATCAAGGATCCACAAAACGTGGATGTTTACTGCACTACTGATTCAAAAAAGTAATTTCCAACATATAGGGAAAAAAAAGAAATAACTCTTTTGGTAACAAAGACATACAACATGTTTTTTAGTGAAAAAAAATCAGCATTTTTTATTGCAACATGACACATCTACCATAGTGACATGTAATATCTGTCACTGGTATATTTGATCTCCTGTTTTATCTTAATGTTTTGAAAACTGTTCTTTAAGATAGCCACCATAGTTTCCATTATAAAATTATTACATATCAAATTAATTTTTTTTAAACCAACATAGCCTTTTTTTTGTTTATACAACATCCAGTTATCAATAATTTGTTCTTAGACAATGTTTAGCACACATTTTCTTAAGTGTCCAGAGATCAGACATTCCTTGACATTTTCATAAGACTATTTCTATTCCTTCAAGATTAGCTTTCAATAAATAAGCAACATCTGACCAGGATTTTTCAAGAGTTCTTCCTACAGCATAAAACTGCCTCAGTTTCTTTGGTGATAATTAAATTTCTACTGTAACAAGGTTACTTTTGAATATTTGATTTAATTCCTCAATTGTTCACTAATTCAGAATTCAGTTTCTTCTGTGGGCATTAAACTTCCCAGAGCTTATGACTAAAATTATAAAAATATTCAAATTGTTCAACCCTCATCTGGGCAACCGGGGTCCAAGGGACCCCGAAGCAATATTTCAATTCCCTTAGAATCCTTGTGCAACATCATGTCAAATGTGTTTGACAAAATGTGTTTCCCTGCTCCACAGGGGCTAGTCCAACCCCTGTGAAGCATCCTACCCTTACCCTTATCCTTATTCCTTCCCAATTCTAGCCAATGGGTAGATGACGCCGGGCATGTGAGACGCGAGCGCGAAGTCACTACCTATCACTGATTCCCTGTCTTGACTGTGACTGACGTGACTTGACTACCCAGAGGCCCCTAGTTGGCTCAACTCTTAAGGAGTTAAGAGATGCATTGCATCTATATATAGATGTAACAAATTAAAAAAAAAAAAAAAAAAAAAAAAAAAAAAAAAAAAAAAAAAAAAAAAAAAAAAAAAAAAAAAAAAAAAAACCAGATAAACAGTGTGTGTGCAATCTGTAATTAAAGAAAAACATATTTAAAAAACATATGTAAAGTATTTTGAAAGGTTTTGTTAAATTAAACAATTATGTTAGAGCATTCTGCTTCATTATCCATGTCCAAAAAGGTACAGTTGTAAGCATAATTCCATCACAGACACTCTGGGGTCTGCTGGAGCCGGCCTGATCAGTTGTGTGATTAAAATTGGTTGCAAAGGATTAATATACAAAATTATTTTCAACTTCTAGAGTTTTTTTTTTTTTTTTGGTATGAAATAAATTGAATCATAATTTTTCTCAACATTATATTCCACCATTTTCAGGTTTTCATTTTTAGATTCTGATGCAATCTTATATTTCCCTATTTCAGTTTGTATTTCAGTTAATTCTATTTCTATTTCTATCTGATGCTCTGCTCCCCTTTCTTTATCACATGTTAAACATTCCTCTAACTATACCTTCATGATATTCATCACATTTTGTTATTACAGAAATTAGTTTTGAAATAATTTTCCCAATACCTTGATTACATAAACCTTGAGATCAGAGTTCAAATCCTAGTCGGGGTGAGGAATTCTTTAAACAAATTTAATTATTAAAATACATTTGTTACTCAGCAAGATGGTCACAACTTCGATTTCTTTACTGTTGTAGAACTTTCTAAGAGTAATTGTGTCCAAAAACGGTGACAGAGTGGTGACTATTATATACATCATAATGAGCAATATATGGCCTGTGAAACTGTGCAAAAACCAGGAGATCTGGGTTGGAATCCCGGTTTGGGTAACCAATTCTTTGAGCAAATTTATTTACTACATAATGACATTTAAAAAAAGATTTATCATATTCTGAATAAAAAATGGTATGAGCACAAAATGTCATGTTTAATAACAAATGAGAAATTATTCTTCGTGTACATAATTTTCCAAAAAGTTAACACGAAAGAAAAAGAAGAAAAGAGGAGGAAGAAGAAAGAAAAAGAGACTGTTTTGTTCACTATTAACAGATTAATAGTGAACAAATATTGCATACCAGAGTTATGTCAATTATAATTACATTTCAATTTAATTCAACAACCGTGATCTTAAAACAATGTATTCTACGCAAATTGCCATGAACGCAACACAATTCTGCTGATAAAAAAATAAGCACACATAATACTAGTCTTTCAGAGTGAGTTTAAAGAAAAGATACAAAATAGTTCACAAAGAAACACTAATAGCTGAATATGATTGAAGAAGTGATTGCTTCAAATGAGAATCTATTACAGTCCTCTGGTTCTAAAGGAACATGCAAACAGAACACTTACATGAAACATCAATTATACACAGCAAGGATACTCACGTTCCAGAATAGAATCTTCTAGTTCATCTGGAGTATCCACGCCAGGACTAAGAAGTGCATCTAGGTCTGCATCATCTTCTCCCGGAGACAAGAGATCTGCATCCGACAGACGACTGCTGTGGCCTCCAATTGATGATGCATCACCATCTTCAGGATCATCATCTTCATCTTCTCTCGCATGACCACTGAGTATATCTGCTGTCACTCTAATCCTTCGTCGACCCCCACGCTGAGATGATATTAGGGAGCCAGGTCGTTCTATGATAAATATTATTTATAGACTTAAAAAAATTAAAGTGGAGAAACATTATAACACAACACAAAGGACAACAGTAAAATTTTGACTTGTTATTTTTTTAACATAATTTTTCCCATATTTCCTCTTGACATGTCATGAAAGACAGGTCTAAAATTATTTAACATAACATTTCCATCCTCTGTCTAGTTATGAAACTAAACTAAAACTTTTTATTTAACTGTTTTTATCGGAATACCTCTTAAGGCATGATCCCAGACATGATCAACAAGAAAAGAAATTGAATAGCAAATTACATTTTTTTTACTCTCGTGAACGTGTTAAATTTTAAGCACATTGTCATAAATTATTTTAATGGTTATAAATCCAAACGGATTCTTCAAAACGTGAGAAAATATGAAAATATAAATTAAAAATTTCTGTACAATACTCCAAATTTTTCCGTGGCTCAGTAAACACTACCTGGTAGCTCCAAAATACTTCAAACTAAAAAAATTAAATTACTCACAATTAGAATTTATTATAAAATACAATTTCTAAAAAACAAAATTGAATAAAGTTAATACACATAACTAAGTCTTAAACACACCTTCATAAACAATAAGTTCTTATGTTTTCTTCTTTTCCAAGAAGAAAAATTAGGCAAAATAAAAATAAGAAAACAAAAGACTTTTAATACTGCATGTTGAGGAATACAACACAAATTCTATCCATTTTTTCCAATTATTTCATTCCATTTCCAAAGTTAATATTTGTTCCATTCTTCCATGCCCTAACAGTGAGTACCAAAGGCTATCCTGTTTATAGAATTGCTTCTTCAACAACAATTCCAGATCTTGTATTTTTCAAACCATTATGTCAGAAACAGTTTCAGACCTTTTAATATTTACATTTTCCTTGAAATTTATTCATTTCTGGTTTCTAATTATTCAAAAGTAGCTTCCAAAAACTTGAATAAAAAGAAATTCTTATAATCAGTTCAAACACAAATTTCAAGGAGATGAAACTCTTTTTAAGTATCAAATGCAAAAATAACTAGAGTCCACTGTACCAAGTGTCAGGCAATTTGTAAAGAAATATAGAATTAAAATATAAACACAATCTATAACCTATTCTACAGGTGGTAGCATAATTTTAATAGTTTCATTAAGTTTTTTCATACAAACCAGTAACAAATAAAGAGCCTGGAAGCATTTTCTTCAGTACTAAACAGCACTATTGTTAATAAAAGCAAAGGAAACATTAGGTTATCATACAAAGTCAACCAAAATGGCCTCAGTGACAACGCAGCCACAAGCAATACACATGAAGGTAGAGTAAAGGATCAATGTAATAAAGAAATGATATTTAAATAAACCATTCTTCAAATGCAAGTTGAGAATATTGTATTTTTAAAACCATTTTAACCTGTTAGGAGCAGAAGTGAATGATATTATGACGAGAATGAATTAATGATATTGTGGCCACCCTTCAGTAAAAACATCCATGCATAAAAAAAAAAAATTCGGACAAGCATTCCCTGCGTGATGCACCAAGGTTGTGACCCCAACAGGCTGCATTACCTGCACCAGCAAATTCACACCCATTACTACCACCAATGCACTTGTTAATATCACAGAACCATTTTACATATTAAAAATCTGGATTACAAGTATTACTATTGCTACTTCAACAGATTACCACAACAAATACAGTTTACAATAATACAGCTCATTCCTAAACCAAAACCATCACCAATTAAAAATGCCAAAAAATAACATACCATAACAACGCTGAAACCAGTTGTTGTGCCCCATCGTATTAGCGATGTAGCACATCTCAGATCATACCCATATGGAAAAAGAGAAAATAAGAAAAAAGAAAACTGATAAAAGTGTTTAATTAATTATTAAAACAAGAAGAAAAATAATAAGAAGTGTAATGCTGTCAAATCACACAAAATGTAACATGCACCCATGTGATCTATAGAACTCCTGTAAAAGACATTCACAAAGATACATTGCCTTTACACAACACATTTTCTTTTAATTTAAGATTGAATGAGGACATTGAGATTTTATAACCTATACAAATATAGTCAGTTAAACAGTAAAGTCAAAAGGAATAAAAGTTATTTAAAGAGGAGAGGTGAGAAAAGGAATATATCAACTGCTCTGAGGATCACTGGACATTTTGAAGAAAAAAAGAATATCACTAAATCATTTTTTTCCCACCCCAGTGAGAAAATTATGATACAATTCTCCATCATTTTAAAATACGTATTCTTCTTATGATATTTCTTCAAAATATTGAATGATTTTCCAATTCTCATTGTGGTTCAGCATGAACAATGAGCTATGACCATAGAAAGATTTTGATTGATGTTTGAATGATGATTCAAAATATTTTAAATGATACTTTATTTCACATGGGGAGGGGAGGGGGGGGTTAATTTTTTACTGCCCTCTTTGTGAAGGAAAAACAAGATTTTTTGATCTTTGCAACATGAATTTTAAAAATAAAAAGATTATCCCATATTCATAATTAAAAACTATCCTGCAGTATGATAGATTAAAATACTTTCCTGCATGGAAACAAAATAGTAAAATCTTATCAAAGAAAGTAAAAGAAACCAAAGCAGAACAGATTAAGATTCTTTCATTGTTTTCCCTTGTTAAACACATTGCATGCTTTAAGAACCACTTTTTATTGTAAATCCAAACATGCTTTTTGGGGAATTATAACCATCCACAAATAAACCCAAGATTAATGGTCACATCACATTTGCCATTCCATCATTTTGTTAGTAGCCACCCACAGTACTAGTAATTAACTTTAAACAAACCTTCAACTTCCACTGTACCATCAGGATTGACTTTAGCCACTCTTCGTATAGGTGTTTGTGAATCCAAAGTTAAGGGATTCAACAGCAACTGAGGTCCTTTGGTTTCATGCTTGAAGGATTCTGCTGGCACTGCCGTACGATTTTTCCTTCGTGGTTTGGGGCAGGGTGGACTTGTCATTTTGCTATAGTCTGTGCCACTATCCCACAATATAGATTTTGATCTTGCAGCTGGAACTGGTTTACCAGGACCAGGGTCTGAATTAGTTGGTCCCAGAGGAGGGAATTTGCGAACTAACGGCTGTTTCTTTGCAATTTCCCCATTTAAATTATCAGAACTTTCAAAACTTAAATCTAAATCTTTTGAATCAGATTCAGGACTATTCATTACTTCATCTGGTACAGAGATCTTTCGAAGGCCAGAATTAGCGCCAGAGTCTTTGTTTCGACTTTCCACAAATAGACCTTCCATAACACGTTCTCCTAATGCATATCGTGATAATCGCTTAGAATCTCGACGTTCAAATACAAAATCTGAATTGCTTTCATCTCCAGAACCATCATCTAGTACAGGTGTAGAAAGAATGGTTTTCATTCCAGACAAGGATTCCATACTTTTATGGAAGGCAGTTGACCGTGGAAGCTCTTCAGTTGTCTCGATCACAGTTATTGGCATGCCACCAATATCAGGGAGCTGAGTGTCTTCAGGATTGGGACTAAGAACTTTCCTGTGAGAACGATTCTTTTCATCTTCATTTGAATCAACTGAAGAAGTTGCAGCAGTGACATTTGTGTTTGCTACATTGGCAGTAACAGTGGTGGTAGTGGTTAAAGGCACATCAGTGATGGCAGCAGTGAGAGTGGAACTAATGCAGGTGGCAATGGAATTGTTGTTGAGTATGGCAGAAGTGGTGGCTGGAATGTCTACCATACTTGCTACTCCTACTGCTACTTCTACAATACAATGAAACAAAACAATACAAAATAAAAACTGAATGTATTAAAGAAATTCAATCTGAAATAAAAATAAGACCATAACCATACAATAAGACCATGAACTAAAACAATTAATGCAAGACCATTACAAATAATCAAAAGTGCAAACAGCATTAACACTTGTAATATTCTACTTATAAAAATGAAATTCACATTGTACCACTCACAAAATTATTTTACCAACATAAAATCAGATCCAAACAACAATAAAAAATTATGCTATATGGTAATGTTTACAAAGAGAGACCCTGAAACAATAGTTGGTAAGACAGAAAATCATTTTTTAACCTCATGCTTTTACACACTTTTTTATAAATCTTATGAATGTTATTTCCTGGTGGAATTTGTTTGATGAATTGACCCAAAATATTCTCAAGACCCCAAATTGGATTTCTCTCCCATTTTATAAAATGTGCTTACATTAAAGAGAAGCCTAAAATGCCTTAATTATATCGTAATCCATTTTATTTGGAAAATAATGTAGTGACAAGTATAAAATGTCTGCATATTTTGATCATCAAGAATAAATCCTTAATATTTATGAACTGAAAATACAATTCATCACCTCTCAATGACTTTTTTTTCCTTTCCCATTTGACACCTCATTTATTTGTGAATATTGACAGGATGTGGAAGCAGCAAAATACTTCCATTCTATTCTATACTATAGAAATAATATAAATGATAATGTGCATGGGTGATGCAGAAACATGCTGGGAAAATAAAAAAGAAGATTTAGAAGAGAGCAAGAAGTGCAGTCAGTTTCACTAGGGTTAGGGCATTGAAGGTTTCTTTCCACTGCTTTCTTTATGTACCCTTTATCCAGAAGTAGTATCTCAAAAGTAGCTACTTTGATATTGTGCTTTGAAAGACGTTCATAATTGTTAAATTCAATTTGCAAGCAAACAACATGCAAATAATACCTTGCATTTAATAACTAACAAGAAGTCAGAACTGGCATGCACACACTAAAAAGGTACTACCAACAATGCTGTAATAATATAAAAGCTGAAATTTATCAAGTCCCTATGAGAGGAACTTATTCATACGGCATTTGACTATCATAAATATCCAATAGTTCCTTTGCACCCATTAGAGATCAACCCTTAAAAGTTATGAGGTCCCAGAAGAACATGTCTAGAATTTTGCTTCCCATTAATGAACAATGTACATCTTTGAGCGTACAAACAACGTAACACAACAAAACTACTTTTAAATAACTTGCTTAATAGGAAATCACTCATAATATGTGTATTAAGTTGCGGGGAACTTCCAATCTAATATTCTTATAATTTGTCCAGAGAAAGGTTGTAATACTGATAAAGAAACCTAATGAAGAATAGAATTAATTATAAAACAATTTATATTATTATTATTATTATTTACATATATATTATACTCATAACTCATTTAACCCTGTTGTGCTCTAAAGCATAAATGTTTTTGAATTACTTAATTGTCACTGAAAAATTAAAACAACACAGCAAACAAAACATTTTAATAGTTTGTTGCAGACAAGGATACCTGTAGTGCTACAAATGTGCGGAGACTAAATGACATTAATTTGCCACTGGGCCATCAAAAAATTCTGGTATGGTAATCATAAAAAATGGCATGACTGCATTGTTGACACGTTAAGTATTGAAGAGATATAATCTACATGTTAGATGGGACAAAGACATCTTAAACTAAGGAAAGAAGTCTCATGAACTTAGATACACATGGGCTATATACACCCACGATTCGAATGTGTGAGTGAGTTGTTGGGTGAGTGGTTGACTGAATAGTTGATTGAGTGGATGTAGGTGGATAGGTGAGAAAACAAACTAATTGAGAAAGTGAGTACTGGTATCCAACAAATCAAAATGTTCGATCTGAAGATTTTAGCAATTCAACAAAATTATCAGACCAAAAGATTGTGCGGTACAGAAACTTATCATAAAACCCAGTTCAATAAGGATATGAGACACACAGTAATTAGGAAATTAGTAACAAGCAAGGGTTTAAAAAGAGACAGTATAGGAGGAGGATGACAATATTACTGAGAAAGTAGGAGAAAATTAACAGAGTACAGAAGGGAAGAAAAAATAATAAAGAAATATGTGGTTAGGCAAGAGAATAGAAGATGGAGAGAAAAAAGAAGCAAAATAGGGAAAGAAAAATGAGAGAACAAACTTTTTAAAGCAGGTTGAAGAAGAAAGAAAAGGGAGAAGTGATAGTAAATAGGAAGGTACAGAATGTTAAAAGGTGTGTAGTAGAAATAAAGAAACAAAAATGTATAAGCTTAATACAAAAGAAAATAGAAAGGCGTTACAACAGGAAATGTAGATAAGATATGAGTAAAATATTAACAATATAATTGAATAAAGGGAAAAGGTGAGAGAAAAGAAAGGTAAACAACAAAACACTACAGAAACATTAATGAAGTTAATAAAAAATAATTACCCAAATAATGAGGGCTAACCTTCAAAAGAAAGAAGAAATTCAAACAAAAAAGTGCAATATCAATACAGAGAGAAAAACAACAAACTTTCTAATCCACTTTTATACATGGATATACACCAGCAGATGGATATATACATATACATCTGCTAAAATAGAAGTTACTCCACCTCTTACATGACAAGTTACTACAGGAACATACAGCAAAATGCACCATTTCACAACTATAAAAAATGCTATTTAGATGTTAATGGATGAACATCAAAGAGGCCAACATAAAAAAACCTGGGATCACATTCATAAGTCTATCAATTACCAAATGATAAAGAGAGTAGAAAGTATATCACTAAAACAATTATGGACTTATTTTACACTCGTACAAAATTTGGGAGAACTGGATCTACAGCTCTGTGAGGTGCTTTCGTACCTTTCCGCAGACGCACATCCTGACAGTTAGGGGAGAGAACAGCCCTGTAGATAGATGTATCTTCCTCTTCTTCCTCGCTCCCGCCTGCGAGCAGGAGACGGGTTGAAAAGGGAGATTGAGGAGGGATATAGAAAGGATATTACCAGCAAATAAAGAAGACACTTAAAAAAATATATTACTAGAATAACTACTTGTAAAGAAACCAATTTGTTCTAATTCAAATGGAGAGATGAACAAACAAATAAAATATTTTAGCATATTTCAATGATGATTATGATAAACTTGGTTCTTGTGAATGTCAAAAAGAAACATTTCTTCATCTCATATCTTTTCTTTATAATTTGTTCTATTAAATTGTTTTTGTAAAATAGTTTTACAGACTTATGTTCCAAATATAACTTTCTCCACACTAACAAAATTAAAAATGTATATAAAGAAAGCTAGTAAGGGCTTGCTGGCGTAACTGAATCTCATTGTTATTATCGAAATCAAAGTATTCCTCTCTACGCATTTCTAATTCCCTTAAAAATGAAAGAAAAATACTTCTATACAAGACTTCTTTACATATTGTGATGATTTAAGTTTACACAAAAATCATACAAATGTGCTCTAGCAAGTTAGTTGTTAAATTAGTTCTAAACATGCGAAAAATTCAGAATGATGAAATATTTAGTTTTATAATCTTTATTAAACAGAATTCCAAGCCTTGTCTGTTAAAGATACGCCTACAAATGTAATCATCATAACTAAAACTAAACTTTCACCATTACATTTTGTTTGCATCAACCAGAAAACAGTGACAGTCTATGAATAACTTTTTACCATTCAATTTTATTGTCTAAGATGACTAAGTACTATGAAATGCACCTGATTTTTTAAACCAATATGTGTTGAACATTTACCCCCATTTTAACACTGAAGAACAATGAAATTTGCTATTATCTGAAAACATGCTAACTTAATGTATTTTGAGATGATGTACATGAAAATGATATCATTCCCTTTGCATTAAATGCTAGTTTTTCTTAAAATCTCTTGCTATGAATATCAGTGGTTCAGTAGCACAACTAGTGCAGTGTGACATTTTGTTTGGATTTTCAGTACTAAATTTCAGAAAGTATATTGCAAAGGAATTTATACAAATTTTACATGCATTAAATCCCTAAATATATCATCTACATGTGTGGAAAATTTTCAAGAAAATCACAACACTGCCCAATTACACACAAAAAGGAGTTTAAAAATAGAGCACCTACATATAGGGCATGAAAAAACTTCAGTAGCACAGGTAGATATATGAAGGAAACAAAAACGCTACTTTGGTGTTTGCAAGTGTTAGCTAGAGATACGACTATGGAAAATGTATACTGAATTGAAAGCATATATCGAGTCTAATTATGAGAATGTGGGAAAGATTTTCTAAATTCTGTTCTTTCCTGACCAAATACAAGGTCAGAGATAATAAATTAAACATTGGCCTCCGGTCATAAAATAAATACTACTACGTAGACCTGTGCAAACATTTCACACTTTGTATTCCACTGTTTTAAAATTTATAATAGCTCCATTTTGGAACCTTGGACACTTCTAACAATATATACTTCAGAGCGGAAAACTCAGTTTTAATGGCCTAGAATGCGTCCTTTCTGACACGAGGTATACAAGTTGGTCAAGTGTGTTCCAGTGTAAAGTGCGTAGTGGGTTACATGAGCCTGCTTTTCCCTCTAAACCATAATCCATGAACTCTATTTTCATCTTAAATTTCTTTGATGCAGGAGTGAGGTTTAATTTTTTTATCCAGTAGTACTTAAGTTTTGTGACAATCATTTTTGTAAAAATTTCACAAAACCGTCAACTCTCCTTAGTGTATTATATACAGAGGAGATAATTATCACATGACAAACTTGATACTAATAACTGAATGAGAAAGATAATTAAAAAAATGTCTACCTTAAAGAAGTTTGTTTTCAATCACATTCTCAAATGTTTCTGAAAGAACAGCAATAACCAAACAAAACATTAATATAATTTCATTACTGCCGTATTGAACTAAAATGCATATGAAGCAAAAATTGCAATCATTCATTAAAGATACAATTAGTAGCCCAGAAAAACTAAATGCTCTTTAAAAATTAAAATGTGTTCTGAGAAGATGAGCTCTTACATCCAGGCTTAACCAACAAAATAATTTTGGATGAATTTGCATTTTGTGGATCAAATACTGCTTAGATTTAGTAATGAAAATGACAAGAAAAAAGAGCATTTATTAGCAAAATTGCAATATATGAAATCATGCAAGCAGAAGAGTTATTGCGGAAATTAAAATGAAGTGTTTTCTCATGCCAACCTTAGAAGGAAAGAATTATAAAATAATAAGAAGAAGAATGTGCAAAGATCACATGCTTCAGAATACGCCCCAAGAATGTGACAAAGATAAATATAATCATTCATTCCGAGTCACGCACCATAAGTATTATGAATATTACAATATAATATGATTCTGCCCATAATGATGAATTTTCTAATATAATAAATAAAATAAAAACATTTCTGTAGTTGTGTTACACACTATATTTTAGTCACTGTAAATGTTCGGTGATCACAGTAGCACCTTCAGTGTTTTTTCTTCTTCTTTAGATGATATGAATATTCTTTGCAAAAACAATAAGAAGTACGATTTCAGGTGTTTAAAATTGGCTTCACAATAACAAATTAATAGTAAATTAAGGAAATACTGTTTCAAAGCATTTTTCCCATTTTAAATAAACAGTCGCATACACCACTGTTAATGAATGTTGACAAATGTTAAATTACCAAAATTTCTGGATCTCTTAATTCATCTTGTGTAATTCGATAGTGTAATGGTTAGAGTGTCGGACTGTTATACCCAAGTTTGCATTGTTCACACCTGATCAAAGTCATGGATTTTTAAGGGTGAAAAAATCCTTCATATGCCTTCCTTCAAAGGGGAAGTAAAGCCGGCTGTCCCATGTTAGTAAATTGACCTCAGATAACAGATCCTCAAGACTAAATGAAGCCTCTGAGCTAAATTCAAATCACCTGTTTCATAGCCCAAGAAATACCGCCTTTTCCCGCTAGTTGGTGAAAGGAGCGTAGCAAAATTTGCTTGGTCAAACGGAAGAGCAGGCCTCATGGCCTGAGTCTCACCATGTAAAATAAGGCATCAATTCAAATGAGTCAAACCTCAATTGGACATCCATTTAAAAGAACTGAACACTTAATTATGTTCATTATGCTACACATTAAGAAATCCTTCCATTTCAGTCGCTCTTTAAGTAGCTCATAGTGAATATTTTGCAAATGAACATGCCTGCCCGAGGAAGCACATCCTATAGTTTTGAGACCCCTCTTTAAAAGCTTGAAATTTTATTATTGCCTTGCCTCCTCTACAAATCAGAGGTTTTTGTCAAAACACTCACAAGTGGAACATATTTTTCTCCAATACAGATAGCTACAATCACAACACAAGACACAAGAATCATATTCCTCAGTCACAAAACAAAAAATCTAAGTAAAATACATGCATGTTATTTTACAACACTTTCCCATTAAACAGTAAAGTTGATATACAAGTTTAAATGGCATATGAAATCTTTTCTGCTATGTAATTGTTTCTCTGCAATTGCACACTATATTGAACATAAAAAACAATAATTTTCATATTATATTAAGGGATTAGTTATAATTTGTACTATTTATTTGTATAATACTAACTATGTCTATAACAAGTAATGTACTTAATTGAGTCAATGATTCCTGTCTCCATCATTATATTTTGTACAGTATACCTTGATCCATTGAGCAAATAATGAGCTCTGCTTCCATTGCTTTTGGATGTAAATGCAGCTTTACTATCTACGCATATTTTCATGAGTTCTGTGTGGTGTGTGTGTGGAGAATTTAATTATTTTGACAGAAATACCATCAAATAATTGTTTACCAAGTCTTTGTGGAAGTGAGTCAATTTTGTCATGTGGGGGCATGATAAGGGATAACAGGCAAATTCTGCACTCATTCGCTGAGGCAAATAGTTTCTATTACAAGGACGTGAAAATTTCTTGTTATCAAATTTTGCCAAAAATGCTTGTAGCTACCTTCATCCACAATTCCATTTAATTCACAAAAAGACCAAGAGTAACGGTTCTGAAGCCACAGAAAATATTCACAAATTGGATATCTTCATCAGTCACAAAGTTTGAAAACCTTTATTAATAAATAAATAAGACAAAAAACTGTGGGCCGTTTCTGAGGAAACATGTAGGTTGCCATGATTTGAGTGCTAATATTTAGAAAAAACTGTATGAAATAATTCAGATATCCAATATGGAAGATAGACTGCATTAACAAAGAAAATATAGCTTCAATATTGATGACTACATTTTGAAAAACAGCATTGAACTTTTGATGTTTTCTAAAGTTCTGAGACTGTATTGAAAATTGGTATTGCTATACCATAATTATAAGTGAACATGGCTCTATTTGAACAACAACTAAAAAAAAAAAGAACCAACAACAACTCAGAATTACACAAAAACTACTATTTTGTTCAAACTATCTGTTTTGTAACTAAAATAAATTTAAAACCTAATACTGCAGAGTAGAGCATTAAGAAAGAAATCTTTGGTTCCAATATAATTATTATGGTGTATGACAGAACCGGAAAAAGATCTAGCAATTTTCAAAAATTTTGAGATTTTAATGAAAAATCGGTCCTATATCGTGTTTATAAGTGCACTTGCCTCTATTTGAGCAATTATTTTGAGTTTATTCACATTTAAAGTTATTTTAATAGAATTTGTCATACGAGATTCTCGTAAAGAATTCCAAAAAATTAAAAGATCTGTTTCAAATTCACTGGGCTTTAAATTCAGCTAGAAGGATCAAGGAAATTGGGGATTTTGGGGAAAATGATTTTTATGGTTTAGGTGCTCATGTTATCTGTTGCATGTCTAAACATTGTATTAAGAAAGAAATCTCCTGCTTCAATATTGAAGGCGTAAAGTAACAGATTTGAAAAACAATGAACGTATTCAATTTTTAAAACTCCTGAAAATTTAATACAA